TAGTATTGTCAAATTCGGCCCAGGTTGGACCTAGGCCAGGGAAGAGTCCAAGATTCGACATATTGATGAGCTGGAAGTATTTAGCATATACAAAATATATGGAGAAACGCGTCAGAGAGTAGAGTAAACAGATATTCTCACCTTATGTAAACAAAGTTCGTGGAGAGGGAAGGAAAAAAAAGAGTGGTGGTGTTGTGTTATTGAAGATATATCTCTTATTTCTTTGTTGACACTTTTGTATTGTAACTCTACAGAATCGATATTTTTCTTTCAAAACCTGTAATTTATTAAGATTAAGGCTATTTCTTTCATATTACTCTTAATAAATAATATAAAGAGTCATTAAGAATTTAGTAACATATATTATATAGAGCTGTATAGAGTTATAGTGCAGTTTAGTAAGGTAGGGGTTCAACTAAAGTTGAACCCTGTATAAAATGTATAAAATTAGACATAAAAGCTTATCGTGGTCCAAAATATTTTAGGCCCCGGTAAGATCCATTACCTCAGCGTGGCCCAAAATTAGTCAGGAATCTTTTGGGCCACGCTGAACTTTTTTTGGACCACGCTGAGCTAGAACCCGATGTTGTCCCTAGCAATTCCCCCCACACCGGGAATTGGTAAGGACACCCCAACTTTTTAGTAACGGCACCCCAAACTGCTTACATAACGAGGAATATTATATAATCTTACCACACCACAATCGAATTCCATACTATTACTATAGCAACTAGTATACTGCATACACCTCTATTTCTATAGTAACCAGTATACACCTAATTTTATTATAAGAATACTTCAATCTTACATTGATCAATGATTCATCATTCAATCTTCCTGCTCACTTATCTTCCTGCTTCCTGCTTACTGTCAAGTTATTAACTATGGCAACCCCATTTGATCAAGCCTACGATTCCCGCGAGGATATGCTTAAAGCTCTCCACGACTATGCAATTTCGCAAGGTTACGCTATTACCACGATTAGGTCAAATCCTAATAGGAATATCTGTATTGGTTGTGATCGTGGTGGCCAGTATACCGATCGAATCAATACACCAGAGGGCGCAAAGCGTCGTAAGACTAGCACAAGGCGAATTGGATATAGTTTTCGTCTATACGCTAGTAAGTCTACTAGTAAAAGTTCAGATGGAAAATGGCATATCAAAGTAAGTAATCCTAACCATAACCATGAGCTTAAGGATAATATGATAGCACATCCAGCAGCACGTACGATTACTCAGGAGCAGCGGGCTATAATCTATCATCATCTTGATGAGAATATCCCTCCACGTCAAATCATTAGCTTGATTAAAAAGAGTGATCCTACTATTTTGATAACACCTATAGACGTGTATAACCTTAGAAAATCGTTTCTACGCGAACAACTTGCCGGCCGTACGTCAATTCAATATGTTCAAGATCAACTTCTAACTCATCAATGGAAGTTTGCATTTAAACAAGATATCGAGGGCTGTATTACCTTTTTTATGTTCGCTTCTCCCCAATCAATTCGATATACTAATCAATATAATAGGGTATTCGTGCTTGACTATATATATAAGACAAACCGATATAGAATACCGTTACTACATATTATCGGTGTATCACCATCAAATACAACGTTTAGTATTACTTTATGCTTTATGGAAAATGAACAGGAAGAATCTTATAAATAGGCATTAAAAACTTTCTTTTCATGGCTTGATCCCTTAATACCTTAACTACCAGTGCTTTGTACTGATCGAGATCTTGCTCTATTAGGCGTATTACGCGATGATTACCCAACCTGGCCGCATTTACTTTATATTTAGCATATTAACAAGAATATTGCCGCAAAAGTGAAGCAATTCTTTACTACAAATAATACGTGGGATCAATTCAACCAGGGCTGGCAGAATCTTGTCAATTCACCTAGTAAGGATAAGTATAATATAAGGTTATCTGATTTTACTAAGAGATATCAATCAATCCCTAGCGCAATTCGGTATATTAAGAAACGTGGCTAATTTATAAGGAAAAGATTATTCGCTGTTAGACGAATCAACACTTCCATCTAGGAAATTCAGCAACCTCACGAGTAGAAGGCTCGTATGCATTTATTAAGAAGTATATTCAATCTTCAACAGGTGATATCCTTACTGTTTGGAACCGAATTAATCATGCATTAAACGGCCAGATTGATACTTTGATACGCGAGGTTAAAGAGGATCAATTACAACAGCTAATCTTCTGCCAGTCTTTCCTATATTCAAATATCAATAGGAAGACGTCACGATATTCACTAAATCTTATTTATAACCAAGTGGCTATTGCTAAGAGAGCTACACCCCTTACCCCTTTACTAGCATGTACTAACGGCTTTACTAGAACAATGGGCCTTCCTTGTGCCCACCGAATCGCACGGTTATTAGAGACGAAGCAGCCGATTCCATTATCAGCTATTCACCCATTTTGGAGGCAGAACCTAGTGGCAGATGACCAATCTACCTATCTACCATTGCTAGAACCTCGATTACCTGTCCCAAAGGCTAAAAGATCAAAAGGAAGTGGGGATATAAATGCAGTTGTAACTGGGAAGAGGAAAGCACCATCTAAGTGCTCAAATTGTGGTGAAATTGGGCATACTATCCGTTCATGTAAAGTATGATAGATTTAATATTAATTATGTGGTTGCAGTTGTGGTAAGATTATATAATATTCCTCGTTATATAAGCAGTTTGGGGTGCTGTTACTAAAAAGTTGGGGTGTCCTTACCAATTCCCCCCCCACACCCCCCTAATTACATAATATACTGCCGGTCGCAAAACCTCCGCCAAAACTCCATGAAATTAATAAACTGCTAGGGTCTAGGGTGTGTTAAAAACTTATGATCCATGACTGTATATTCGACGTATTGTCACACAATACAGCACTGTGACGAATAACCCAGATTGTGGTGGAGTTTCCGTCAACGTTGCATCCAGTTTATTTAAGTACTAGGGATTCTCCATCCTCCTCGACCTCTTCATTCCCACACCCATCAGAGAAATACCTTGAACCCACAGATCTCCCACAATGGGCAGATCAAAACCCCGCCAGCAAAACTTCCACCTGGAGGATCTTCCATGGGAGAAAAGACTCAAAGTCACCCTGTACAATAAAGACGACTGCAATGGCGCGATTCGCGGACAAAAGATTCCCGGTGGCCTCGGACTGAAAGTCCAACGCTTCGCCGTGATCCGTGGCATTCGACACCACGACGGTTTCGCCTACGAGTTACGCGGTGTCGCACCGGAATTCACTCGTGCACTCAACGCGCGTGCAATCATGAGCGGAGTCATCCCGGAGATCAATGACTCCTCCGAGATACCCTATTGCATCTGGTACCCGGAGCCTCCGCCCCAGGAGACCCTGCGCAATCTGGTGAAGCATTATCCCAACATGATATATCACGCTGCTCGCGCCTGTGCCGTGGCGGGATATTTTGATCTTTACTCGGAGCTTCAGGTTCTTCCCGAGGTTCATATTGCCGCCGAAGCTCGCGACGCTAGCCTGGCAAGGAAGAACAAAGGCAGCGAAGCAATATACGAGCAAATAATGTCGAAGCATTTGAAGTTCGAAATAATGAATGATTATGATCGATCCGTCAATCTTGAAAACCCGCGTCCGGCACATCTAAATGGAGATACGGCGGTTTTTTCCGATCTTACTGCCCACATGCGTTATGCAGGAGTGGACAACAGCAGCAAGTTTGGCGTCAATCTTGTTGACTACATCGAGTGGGATCCGAACGAGTACAATACGTATAGCCACTTTAACATCACTGAGGACTTAGGAGTCGACGATCATAGTTGCGGTGCGCCTGAGCCTTTGGCCAGCTTTTGGCCACTTCTATATTCGCCTCTCCCGGCAGACCTTCCGCCAGTGAATAAAGACAACCTGATCCTATCGGCTGCATATACAGGTAACGTGGATCGATATGTACGCCTTCGACGCCCACAGATGATCGAACAAGAATTCCACGCGATCATTCTGGGGATATACCATCACCCCCTTTGGGCGCGATGGTGGAGCACACAGGTGCCGGAGGTTCCCGAAAGCAGAGAGGAGCTATCCATACGGCGCGCAGTTAATGTTCGACGCATCATCAGTGACGATATCACTTGTATCACACCTGATACCCCAGAATCGCTGGTTCCTCGCAGAATCTGGTGGCCTAGTGTTGCTTCTCCGGTGACCTATGTGCGTCTCGCACAGAAAAGGCCTGATATGATAGATTCTTGTCTACGAGCATGTATTGTCGCAAATTACGAAGCGGCATGGGATGAGATTTTGCTCGGGTCATCCGATACCCCGAACGATCCCAAAATCACTCGACTTTCCAAAGTCATCGGGTCGCATATCTATGCCGAGGCTAAGGATTCGTCAAATCCGCACTACTTGGACGACATAATGTTGCTTGGAACAGCCAGCGTGGAGAAGCTTGAATCCGGTGTGTACTACCTGGATAACATGCGCACTGCGAGATGGACCTATTCGCCGCGCTCAACTGCCGAGAGATTTGTGATCAAAGATAAGCCCTTCGCGTTGACATCGGGGGAGAGCGCCACAGATGGACTTTCTAGAGAGCCTAGTAATTTGGGATTCACAATTTTCGGCATGGATGCAATTGGGCTGCATGATAAGATATGGGATCAGAGAAGCCACGTTGAAGTCCAGGAGATGTACGACATTCTTGATGCCAGAGATCTTTCAACATAGTAGTACATTACATTGAATAAAGCAACGGCTTCAGTCAACCCCTCCTAGAATTATGTGCCGCGAAGTCAAGTACCTATGAAAGTCTTTCAAGTTTAGGTATTAGATACATAGAAACAAAAATCATAGGCTGTGTACTGCGGACGATTGACGCCAATTGCACACAATCTCCAAGGCCAATAATATCTGCCTCGGGCAATTACTACTGTATAGATCTGATGTTTACTCAGTCCAATACTAGTGTAACGCCTACCGTGGAGCGCTCATTCGCCGCGGCACACACCTCCCAGCATCCTGTATTTCGCTCTCTGGACCTCTTGAATATTCGCCGCATGATTGTCGTCCTTCGACGTCGCATCCGACGTCGCATCGGATCCTGAAGCTTTGAGTGTCCCAGCTCTATAAGCCTTGTAGTAATCATTGATTGATACTGTCACTTTCTTCTCTTGCTGGATTGCATCGATAGCCGACTTCAAATCGCAGTCTGGTACAACTTTGCCGTTCGGAAGTATCTTGGAGTTGTCATCCCTAACCAAACCTTGGTAAACAGGTTTATTTCCGGCCACATTCGCTTCGTCATATTGGGTTCGAAGAGCCAGGCTGATCGTCAAGTGACTTTCAGCAGTACGGATCACATCAACTCGCTTTCGAGCAAGAAAAGCGTCACTGAATGGAGGGTGACTGGGGTCAGGTTGCTTGCTCTTGTAAATCGCGCCAATAGCCCTGTTTTTTTTCCTGTGAGCGCTCGGAAAACTGTAAGTCGCACTGGGCTACTTAACGTACTGTGAGACTTTTCTAAAGACATTGGGCACATCATAGACGTCGTGAATGACTCGGGGTAATCTCATCGCTTTTGTTATGCCGTTGTCATCCAGCCACTTTGCCCCTTCATCTACCGAGGCGGGAACGTAGTCCTTTCCATTCTGTGCTTTATAGGCTGCAAATTTAGACTTGACCGTGTCCTCATCCGCTGCTTTAGCAATCCATGTAACGAACTGGGCGAAGGAGCACGACTTGCACGACGTAGCAATTTTTCGATTGGCCGCGTCGACATATTGCTGCTCCATCTGGTAAGCTGACCAGTACCACATTCGCTCATAGGCGCCAGATAGACCGAAGGCAGATATGCGAAGGGCAAAAAATGCCACGAGATAGAATAAGATCGTTCTCATTTTGACGGTGAAGAAATGCCAACGGAAATCGTGGTTTGGAAGAAAATATGATTAACCTGGCATTTGAATGCGAGACTTGCAATGTGGACTTGGGAATCAATCATACTCTAATTCATTTTCATCTCCTCGGGTCCGCCTGAAAGAGCCTAGCTGTATGTAATACCCATTTCGATCTATTCATTTCCTTAGTCCCTCTGCGCCTTGAGTTTCACCCTGCCTGTGAGTCTCTCGTTTTCGCGATCGGCGTTGTCGGAAGTTAGCATGCTGGTAGAATATTGTTCTACCTGGCCGGTATAACTCGGCTTCGCCTTTCTACCTGGGGATCATACTTTGCTAGCGCTCCGAGCCAAGGAATAAACCAAATTCAGGGAACAGGGCCGGCCCCCGGGTGGTAGAGGAGAATGTGATTCTAATTTCGTTTTGCTAGCCCCAGACCATTCAAACCATGTACACCATAACATGAATCTTATGCAGTTATTTACTGAAACATCGGTAGCCTGTAGTCCAGCCTCGTTCAAGTCCGTGCGCGTGATCGTCCGAGGTTGGGGGCCGAACGACTAGACAACAAGTGCTCTACACAGAAACTCTGTAAGCTACTGATGGGCGTCGGCGCTAACGGAATTCGAGATTGAGTTGCGGAAGCGCGGGTATCTTGTACGGATGATCTTTATGCATTGGTATAGAGACAAAGAACCAATGTTCGAGGCTAAGTTTTTTTGGTCTACAGCAAGAACCAGCAATACCAGAAACCTCCTTTTCCAAAAAGAAATAAATGGTAAACACTAATAATGTGCCTAGTATAACTCGGCTATTCTACGCCAAGATAGGCTAAGAAATCTTAGTTCGCTCGGAGTGAAGAGCGGAGGCTTCTTGAATGCAAGAAGCAATTACAAATTGCTTAGTCGGATCTCACCGTAAAGTCTAACTGATGGATAACTAATTCACTGTATAGTTAGCAGCGCGAAAATTAATCGAATAGCATCAATCAGAGGGCGCCAAGGTCAAGCAAATTGTGGCGTAACATGGCGTTGGGGCCGCCCGCTGCAGACTAAACGAAGTTGATTCTGTTGGTTCTTCCCCTAACGCCTTGGAAGGGTCCAGGAGCTAAAATAGCGTGTTCTCCACTCGCGCAAATTTTCAGGTTCTAACCCCGGTCAACTTGTCCCTTCCCGACATGTCTCAGAACTGACGAATGAGCTAACGAAAAACTAGATATCAAACACTCCGTAGCGACCACCCTACTGCACTACAGTAAAACCTGGTTATAACGAACCTCTATATAACGAATTCCTGGGTTAACGAATCGAAAACCCGTGCAGAATTAGATTTCCCATACACATAACGAATTCCCGGCTTACTACGAATTCGTTAGGTTTCTGGCCAAAATTCGTTATATTACTAAGCATACTAAGCCTAATTAGGAAGTAGGCTAGCCTATATAGGTAATTATATCACGTGTGGCAGTCTCATGCCAAAGCTCTCCAGTCGCAAGAATTCGCTACATGCCTATCTCGCATACCAATCTTTATACTAATCTTTATACCAATCTTGCTGCCAATCTTGCTGCTAATCTTGCTGCCAATATGCCTCCCTCTCGCACTCGCACCAGTGTCCCTATCGATCGCAAGAAGGCCCTCCGCCAATTCAAGTGTACCAATCCTACAATCAGCAATCTCGCTATACGCGAATGGTTCAAAACCACCTACCAGCAAGATCTTGCGCCCTCTACCGTATCTGAGATATTATCAAAGCGATATGCCTACCTTGACGATGCCTATCACCAATCTCTCGCGAATCAGCAGCGTAGCCGCTCTGAGCGGTGGCCAGAGCTTGAATCTGCCCTATTCCAGTGGATACAACGCGCTGAATCGCAGATTCCTATTACTGGGGCTGTCCTGCGTGAGAAAGCCGATTTCTTCTGGCGATCGCTGCTAGCCTACCAAAGCTAGAAGGTTCCTACCTTTAGTAACGGCTGGCTACAGGGCTTCCAAGCCCGCCATCAAATTAAAAGCCGCTACAAACATGGCGAACTAGCTAGCGCGGCTAGTAGCGAGGACGAAATGCGTATAATTCAGCAAGCTATCGCTGCCTATCCGCCGCAGGATATCTTTAATTGCGATGAGACTGGTCTATTTTGGAAGCGTACGCCAGAGCGAGGTCTTGCTACCCGCAACGTTCCTAGGCGTAAGATAGAGAAGGCTAGGGTTACATTCTATTTCTGCGCAAACTCCGATGGGTCTGAGAAGCTACTAATATGGGTTATTGGCGTAGTAGCTAAGCCTAGATGCTTTGTAAGGGCTAATATCAATCTTGCTGCCCTCGATATCTACTAGCGCTATAATAAGACGGCTTGGATAACGGCTCTAATCTTCGAGGATTGGGTACGCTGGTTTGATTATCGAATGGCTGGGCGAAAGGTAGTGCTTTTGATAGATAACTTCTCTGCGCATAAAGCTGCCATTGAGACTATCAAGAAATCTTGCTATCTACTGCAAAATACTAAGATTATCTGGCTGCCAGCGAATACAACTAGCAAATTTCAACCGCTTGACCAAGGGATTATTAATACTTGGAAGGTTTACTGGCGCTATCAGTGGATTCGCTATATACTATAGGAATTTGATACTGGTAGAGACCTATTGAAAACAGTGGATATCTTGAAGGCTATACGATAGGGTTTAAAAGCCTGGGAATTTGATCTATCTACATCGGTAATAACTAATTGCTTCCGCAAAGGGTTATATCATAAATCGTTGAATCAATCGGCCGAAGCAGATCCTATAGCTACACTACGCAGAGATATATCTCTACAGATTAAGCGGCTACCAATTCGCGAAGCAATAGATATTGATCAATTCCTAAATCCTGCTACCGAAGAGGTTACTGATTCATTCGATTCAATCGATTCTATCGTGCTATCTCAGTTCCCAGGCCCTACAGCAGATTGCGATGAGATCGATGAGATCGAGGACGATTTAGTAGAGGAGGAGATATAGCCGCTGATTAAGCCGACCGAGGCTATTCACCACACACAAGGGCTTCTAGCCTATTTGGAGCAGCAGGAATCGATCGATCTCGCTTTTATTAAGCGGCTGCGGCAGGAAGAGATAAATATACAGAGGAATGAGGTGAATAATAGGCGCCAGAGCGATATTCGTGGCTATTTTGGGGGGAATTAGGGGGTTATTGGATATAGCGAATTTCACTTTATAACGAATTGGGTAGCTGAAAACAATAGTTCGTTATAACCAGGTTTTACTGTACCACGAAGAGAGACGGCCCCCGGGGCGGCGGATTTGCACTAAGGGTACGTAAGTTCAAGGTCTTTCGACCTCACTTCCACTAAATGTTACAAATGTGGAGAATTCTGTTGTATTTCCGAATTCAAGAAAGTCCAAACGAATATTTTCTATTATTCAATCAATCCCAGCAGGTCAAGCGTGATTAGTCCCTTGATTCGCAGTCTCATAGGACATTTCCTGTCGTTGCCCTTTCCTGTCCGGAGTGCTCCGGATGTTCTTCGTATACGGCAGGAGGCTAAGCGTTGTATATCCACATGGGTCTTGGGGCTACTGCAGGTACGGAGTGCAAGGGGCGAAATCTAAATACTTGGAATGGGCTTAAAGCATTGCAGAGTTACATTCAAAGCACGGAATAAAGCCGAAGCTCATTTCGGATCGAAATTATGCTGATATCTGTGGAGTCTGAAAATGCCTCTCAAGATGAAATATCTGCTGGCAGCCTCTGAATTTGCTAGCATTGTTCCCATCATCAGGGCTCAGTCTGGCTCAAAGCCAATCCTTTTCAGATACTGCCGTTCATGCTCCAAATACTTGTTTGAAAGTGTTATTAGTGGACATTTGACAGGATCTTACTTCTCCATCTTTTACTCGTTCATTCTCTTCTCTTTCATTTCCTCCCGCCTTACGAAACTGTATTGAACATGGGGTTGCTGGTCCATTTGGCTACGTTTAGCCAAGTGGCCGCCCTAGTCAGCGCAGCCTCCTCCCATATTGTTACGGATCCATACGTCGCAACTCAATGGAATGCGTGCCCTTCAACTTGCAATAGTGGTGACTCCAGTCACTGGGGCTACTACAGTAATCTTCGCATCCTCAAAACCTGTGATGAGCCAATGCTTCTGAACTTTGCTGTCAACAATCCCATCCGAAACCAGGCAAACCCCGGACTACTGGCTTGCTCTCTGTCCGCTGATGACACCTTGCCATCTGCAAAGGTTCAAAACGAGGCCGCCGATACCAAACTGTATACAGCAAAGGATGTGGAGCTGGAGGTCGCTTCTCGCGGCGATGCAGCAAGTCAATACATACCCCACGCCGAAGCTGCGGCAAAGCTTGTGAAATCCCAGTTTGATAATGCTGGCGGAATAAATACTACCATTGCCTTTGGGTATTCTAATGGAGTTGCTTTGGGCGCTTACATCGGCTCTGCTATAGCAAGAGACAACGGCATTCTTGCATCTTTCCTCGGCAAGCTCAGCAAGGGAGAGCTCAGCACTTCTGGTTCTATGATGCAGGTTTGTGACACCAGTCGTTCATCAGCATATACTGTCGGTGTTGTATCTGAGGCAAACTCAGACAACAAAGAAGCTCTGTCTGTTGTTCAAGAAGCCCTTGCCGCCTGGAACAGAGGTGAATGTGTCCAAGGTTACAAGAACAGTCGCAAGTCAGAAATTACTGTTGGGGAAGTTGTCCGTCCGAGTGGGAACAGCTCTCATATTAGCTCCCACGCGAAAGCCCATGCCAAGAAGTCGCACTCAGGACTCCACAGTCGTGCAGACTGCAGAACTATACAACTCACTACTGAACATAGTTGTACGGAGCTTGCTGCAACCTGCGGTATCTCGCCTGCCGACTTTACAAAGTACAACCCAAGCTCGACTTTATGTGGCAATTTACAGAAAGGTCAACACGTTTGCTGCTCAGCTGGAACTAGGCCTAATTTCGCACCCAGCCCAAACCAGGATGGAACTTGTGCAACATACAAGATCAATAACGGGGATCTCTGCAGCCAAATTGCTGCCGCACATGATGTCACTGTTGATAATATCAGCGACTGGAATAAGAAAACCTGGGGATGGCAAGGTTGCGGAAATCTCCCTTTGAATGGTAAACTACAATTCCTGAGCTCAAAACACTAGCTTTCTGGGCCTGTATCAAATCTGAGATCTTATACTAATAATAACAGGCTACATTTGCATCAGTTCAGGTGACCCACCTATGCCTGCAAACGTTCCGAACGCCGTCTGTGGGCCACAGGTAAACGGAACCAAGAGACCAGATAATTGGGATGATATTTCGGGCCTCAATCCGTGTCCTTTGAACGCCTGCTGCGATATTTGGGGGTAAGTCTTCAGTATTCCAAAACTCACCGAAAATATAACTGACCTCAGTTAACAGTCAATGCGGAATCACTCCTGAATTTTGCACACAAACGAATGTAAGTTTTGAGAGAGGAAATATACTCCTTTCTTCCAAATTTTCTACTTGCAATCAGGCTGACAGTCAACAGTCTACTACTGGAGCTCCCGGCACGGCCGAGAAAGATACAAACGGCTGTATCTCCAATTGTGGAGTTTATATCAAAATGAACACAGACGCCACCAGTGAACCGGCTACCTTGGCATATTACGAGGCGTTCAACAATCAAAGACCATGCTTGAATCTGGATCCACAAGCTATCATGACCCTTGAGGTAACTGGTGGTGAAGATGGAAGTCTTGCCATCGATTCCGCGTACAGCTATATCCATTTCGCCTTTGCCAACATTACCGAAGACTTTCAGGTTGATATAGGCACTGTCAAAGACGAGTTTGAAGAATTCAAACAGTTGGCAAAGCCAAAAGATCCAACAGGGAAAGAGATTAATCAGGGTAAGGTTCTGTCTTTTGGTGGTTGGTCGTTCTCGACAGATCTGGACTCCTACGCTATCTTCCGCAAGGGAGTCTCAGATGCTCAACGCTCCCAATTTGCGACAAATGTTGTCCAATTTGCCACAGACAATAACCTCGACGGTTTGGACTTTGACTGGGAATACCCCGGGGCTCCTGACATCCCGGGCATTCCACACGGTGATCCCGACGACGGTGAAAGATACTACAACTTTTTGAAGGAGGTTCGAGACAAGCTTCCATCAGGAAAGACCGTGTCTGTTGCTGTCCCAGCATCCTTCTGGTATCTCAAGGGCTTCCCAATCAAGAAGATCTCCGATGTTGTGGACTATATTGTTTTCATGACATACGATCTCCACGGTCAATGGGACTACGATAAGCCCAATGGATCGGATGGTTGCGATGGTGGCTCCTGTCTTCGATCTCATGTGAATGAGACTGAAACTGCTCTTGCGTTCGCTATGATCACCAAAGCTGGTGTGCCAAACAATAAGATCTTCGGTGGAGTTGCCAGCTATGGGAGATCTTTCGGAATGGCAGACCCCTCCTGCTACGGCCCGACATGCAAGTTCACAGGCCCGGAGTCAGGAGCCAGGCCTGGCGAATGTACTCAAACTGCAGGCTATATTGCAAATGCAGAGATTGGAGAGTGGCTTGCTGATGAGAATGAGAAAATCAACACTTACTACGATGAAAAAAGTGCATCGATTATCTCCTACTCTGAAAGTGGTACCTGGGTCGCTTACAGCAATAAGGCCAACCGGACTGCCCGTTTACTGGACTGGTGGCAAAATGGTCATTTCGCCGGAACTGCTCTATGGGCACTTGACCTTACCGAGTTTGTCAGCGAAGATTCTGATGGCTCAAGATTGGACGCTATCTACCCGACCAACTGCACCCAGTCTTTTGACAACATGGATGATTTGGAGGCTGCAACTGGACTTGATGACTTCTGTGTGAACATCTACCTGATGCAGGCATTATCAGGGAATCTTACCGCGTCTCTCAAAAAGTACCAAGAGATCTTGGACGACGAGT